AGGTCCTTGAGATTGGTATTGATCGCTCTGTTACATGGGCTCGGCTGTTTGGGGCAAAGTACCCATGTTGACATGACATAAGTGTGGGTGTTGGATTTGTGTGGGATTCGCCTCCTGTCTCTGAGATATGCCTAATGAAAAAGGAAGAAGGTTGAGATACTTACTTCGATATGTGTTGGGTTTGCGATATGGATTTGTTGAATCATATAACTTCATCGACAATTGAATGTCGGCTACATCAACGGCAAAGTCTAGAGTTCAAACACACACACACACACACACAGTGTGTCATAATCTAGGGTTTGAACCAAGAGGGAGAGCTTGAGATATAGGGTTATTGAGTGTCAATTGAGAGTGTCATAATCTAGGGTTTGAACCAAGAGGGACAGCATGAGATTTAGGGTTATTGAGTGTCAATTGTGCTCAGAGAGAGAGAGAGAGAGAGAGAGAGTTTGACCGGCTGGTTTTAGTCATTATGAGACTGCAATACAACTAGAGGGATTAAATGTTATACAATTGGAGAGCTTTTGTGCTGGGTTTCGCTCATAGGCTGGACGTAAATAATTTAAATAAAAGTTTGAGCCTACTTGTAAACTTGGTTCAACAATAAAAACTTGGGCCTTCAGGTATTAATCAAAAAAAAAAACCTTGGGCCTTTTAGTATTTTGTAGCTAGCCAACATCTCTATTAATAACAGGGGCTGTTATATGACATATCCATATGTTTGATCAGTAAATTATATTTATAAAAAAATTGTTGGGTCAATTTTTCTTAAACTTATGTTCATATAAGAAATATATTTTAAAAATATTTATTTAACTTATCCTCGTATTTGTATCCAAATTTGGATCCATATCCATGTATCCTCAACTTTTAATTTTGAGGTATCCGATCCCTAGATATGCATCCGCACCTGATCCTAGTGCCATTACAATGTTTTAAGTTGCTTAGTTGACAGTTAGAGTGTGCAGGAGGCAGTTTTGATGATATTTTGATATTATAATTGTAGCTTTAGCTCTTTGTATCCCAATTTGGGATGTTCTTTCTCTAAAACATTTTGATCTTGAGATTTGGTTTCATTAAGTGATGAACTAATCATGTAGCATTTAAATGTAACTTATATATAATTTCTCGTGCTATATAAAATATTCACATCAATGATTTTTGATGGTTATGTTGAAAATGAACTACATGGTTAAATCAGAATATATTCACTAGGCTTAGACAAAAGAGCACTAGGATGGCAAGTAGTTGCTTCTATGCCTAACAGTCTCTAGCATAAACAATGCAATGCAATTCTAAGGTGTATAATCATCAAGGACCCCTTCAAATTGTATTATGATCTAAGGTTAAAACTAAAAAATTATATTTTCTTAAACAAAAAATAAAAAAGTGCAAAAGTGTGCTTTGAGCTTATTAGAAAAGTGCAAAAAAAAGAAAAAAAAAAAAAAAAGGTGCTTCGCGCATGCTTTTGTAAATGCGCTTCACTTTAACCACTATGCTTTAAGTTCACTTAAAACTTGTTTTTACTAACACTGTTCCCTAGAAATTACTCTTAAGCTAAGGTTGCATAAAACATCGTACAATGCTACAATAGCTTCACACAAATTTTCTAAACTCAAGTCCACATAATAGATAATTGCTTAGATGTTTACTATGTTACCTAGACTTGGGTACTAGCGTTGGACTCGGGTACACATCTGAAAGTCAGATTTGCATAATGTTCTAGTTGTAGGATTCGGGGACTTGGCTAAAACGTGTCCAAAAAGTAAATACGGATACAAGGACACGACATAAAACATTGGACAACAATGCTTTTCATCACAAACATAACCAATGTTGCAATAATAAAGAACTGATCTAATATAGAAAATAAAATTATCTTCAATTTCTTTTTTTCTTAAGTCATTGGATGAAATGGAATTGATTAAAGGTGAGTGAGAATCTTGGTTAGTCAGTTGGCTGTAAGTAAATTGGGCGATTAATTCAAAGGTATCTTAATTAAATTTTGTTTTTATTTATTTATCAAAAAAATAAAAATAAAATAATAATAATGTTAGTTTCTATTTAGTAAAGGAATCTTTTGATAGCTCTGTATATGGCACAATTTATGAGGGAAACTATAAAGTTTGAATTCTACATGAATATTTAAATTAGTGACCTTCCATATTTTATATCTAACTTTATTTAATTATAATAATTGAGTTTTGCTTTGGAAGGTCAATTTTAATTACAATAAATGACACATCATAACAGGCTGAAAGTGGGCAACATTATGTACATGTCACACTAGATTAAAACCTTGGTTTATGGCTTTAAAAAGTTTGGCACGTGCAAAGTGGATTTTCTTGGGATATTGAAACACATAGAGACAGAGAGAGTCGATGATGACATACTAGGAAGCACAGATAGGGGATATGACGATACGCCAAAATCTGAAAAAATAGGATATAGGTACGGTGGAGACACGTTCGAATTTTTATTTTTATTTTTATAATTTTATTAATGTAATATGCATGAAAATAAAATGTAAAACAAAGACATTCATAAAACATCTAATATTAAACTTCTTAATTAAATTTAAAAATTGATGTTCCTAAAATTAAATTTAAAAATTGATAATCCTAAGGTTTCACTTGAAAAAAAATCCGAAACTCACAATATATATATATAACAGAGAGTATTAATGTCAAAGGACAAAAAATTAAAAAGAAAAAAAAAAGAATATAAGAGAATAAAGGGGAACAAAAAAGAAAGAGGAAAGAATGAAAATAAAAGATAAAGGGAAAAAGGAAAAAAAAAAGAAATTAGAAACGTGACCGAGAGAGAGAGAGAGAGAGAGAGAGAGAGAGAAACTTGTTTGGTGAAGAGAGAAGAGTGAGATAGACGGTGTTCGCTGTGGTCGATCGAGATGAAGACAAGATCGGACGACTGAAGTTCTTCCTTCCTTGCCAGATTTGCTTCCTTGCCAAATTTGCTTCTTTTCTTCGATGACCGAGAGAGAAGGTTAGGTTAGGGTTTTTTGTTTTTTTAACCTCTTTTCTGGTTTATGATTTGTATATGGATTGAGGGATTTGATCGATTTGTGTTTTTTTTTAATTAAAACTTTGATTAGTTAGAACATTTGACCTGTAATCCAACCCATGGGTGACCCCAAAAGCCATAATATTAATACACACTTACTACTAAAAGCGATAAAATTTGTAGCAGTGTTCTAACCTATAAAGCACAAAACTACGACTCAAATTAGCCCTAAACATGGTAATAAACATCCAATCTGCAATCTATGTAAACCACAAGAATTAATGCATGTAAGATTCTGAAGTAATAAATGAGTAAATGTTTGTAGGGGCCACTGCTTGATGCCATGGTAAATGTTTTCAGGTCTATGTACACAATGCATCCCTGCAGTACATTAGTGGGACTAATTATGGCCAATGGCCTTCAATTCAGTATTGTTAGCTGTCAGTATGACCTCACCCCATGTAGTTGGTCCAGCAAATATATAGCCCTGGTCCTAGTTGTAGAGTATAATAGAGAATAGATTGCACCTTCGATGCCTGACAAATGAAGTAGTGCTGCATGATTTTTTTTTTTCTTTGTATATTTTGTCTGGCTTATGGGTATGAAAGCATTCTATTGGTTTGTGTCATGGATAAAACAGTGTAGTTAAGTCTTTTATTTGGCATTTACCTCACCTAGCTGCCCCCTTAACTGCCTGGCTTAGTAAGTTGAAAATAAGATGGTGACTGAGTACTGCATTGGGCATGCCCAGGCTACGAGGAGAATTGTGTTTGGGTTGCTGCCTGATTTTGGCTGTGCAGGTCGGAAATTTACATTTTTGCAAACCCAATACTATTCCATCCTTACGAAGTATATTGTATGGGTAGATGGTTGATTAAATAACTCAAAACCATCTAATATATAAAAACTGCCTGTTATGTTTTTGACAAACTTTGGTTGCCTTACTACATCACTTGCAGTTAGTGTTGCATTGTTAATCTTCATATTCTATAATTGCTGTATAGATCACACACTATTCAGATGATAAATGAAATGAAACAAAATAAATTTTCTAAAATGGTTTGAAACTATTATCTTTTGTGATTTTTAAGTGCTGATAAGTGATTCCCTAGCTATTTTATGATTCAGGTTGCATAATCTAAGATGTGTTTGTACTCAACTTCAATTTTTTGAGGCACCACTTGATACCTTCCATCTGGTGGTTTTTTTTGTATATCCATGTTAAAAAATAAAACCAGCCTTGGACAAATATTTCTAAAGCTTAAAATAATATGGTCTGGTTCACATAATGAAGTTTATTATATTGTTAATTGCTTCAGATTTATTCATAAATCATATCAAGTTTCTGGTTTTCAGCACAAAAGCCATTTGAGTTTCTTATTATGTGCATATATATGCATGTATTTATGGGTCAGAAACAGGGAAATCCTTAGTGCATCACAAATTAACTGACACATCACATGGAGCATCTGTCACATTTTGAATTTGGTGGTAACCTGTGTTAGGCATATCATTGTAGTTCCCTACTAAAAACTTGTTTTCCAAGGGATAGGAATTTATTGTACACTTTATTTTGGTTCTTGAAAATAATTTGTAGGATACATGCTTGCAACACTTTAAACCTGTTGTGTCTTGATCTTGAAATGGATGGAAAATGACACTAGAAACATCCTAAGGAGCTCGTGGGAAACAGAAATGTGTACCTATGAAGTGTGTATCACAAATCATTTAAATTCATTGCTCTCTCCATTTGAGAGCTGTTTCACTTGCTATTTTTCAGCTATTGGCCTTTTGAGTATCCCTGCTTCATTTCTAAAATATATTTTGCTTTTGGCATGTACTCTCTTATTTGAATTCTAATATCATGTGATCACTTAATGCTATTTTTTGATTTGCTTCTGTTGAAATTTTTGTTATTCTTTAGTGCTACAATTTAAATGTAGTTTTATCTTTTAATGATAACTTTCTTTTTGCAGTTCAAAGGATCCACTCCATCTTCTTGCTGGAATAAAATCTACAAGAGGATAAGGAAGACACAGTGCAGTTCCGATGGTTTTATAGCTGAAGGTGGACTCGGGAGGATCTTTAATTCTGGTTGTGATATGTTTGGTTTTTCCAATCCTGAGATTTCAAAGCTTATACAGGTAATGATTTTTAAATGTGTCCGCAAAATGTTTTAATAACATTGTGTATAGTTTACCTTTTGTCCTTCTCTCTCTCTCTCTCTCAATGGTGTCCTGCCTTATGTTACATCTTTACTTTACTCAATGATGTTTGCTATATTTAAAATTTGTTGTTAGTAAATGTGTTCGCTTTCGTTTTACTACTAAACTCGAATTTTTGTGCTTTTTTGTGATTATATTGCATAATGTTTCTTTTTATTTTAATCTTGAATTGAAGAGACCACTAAACCTTGAAACCTAAAATGAAAGGGATCTTAAAAAGCTTCTTTGTACAGTTAACTATGATAGGCTGAAGGGGAAGAGGGGTTTTAGGGGGGCACTGGATTGAGAAGGACAAAGGTGAGTGTTTGGACGAGAATAGTAGAGCGCCAAAGTCCTCTAAAGGGTTGGAGAGGCCTTCTTATGGATGAGGGATTGTACCTAAAAGCAAGTCGGTTCCTTTTTTGTGTTCATGGACGAGTTTAAGAGACAGTTCAAGGAAAAGCACTCGGAAGTTAAATTTCTTATTGTTATTGGTAAGGCTGGAAGGGATAATTGAGAATCATTTTCAGAAGTTGAAAAATACCTTTTATGAAGATGGCAAAGTTTAGAAGCATTTTACTGTTGGGGTGTGGATGCTTTGGATTCTAGTAGGGTTGTTGGGTCTATCTTATGAGCTGTTTCTTTTTCTCTGTTTTCTCTTCTTAGCTGATTGTCTAAGGTTTTCTCTAATACAATTTTTATTTGTTGTTGATAAAATGTCTCTTCTATTTAAAACTGAACCATATGTTGATGGTTGAATGTGCAAATATTTTTCACACTTCCGAAAATATGTTGATGCCATATAAAAGTTTTCCACTTTTTTGTTTGTATAGGTTTGACATCCATTGTCATGCATCCATATGTGACTTTGGAATGAGGTGTTTTTCCATTTGGGAGAGTTTTTTTCCCACGTTTTGGAGGTCTGATATGGACAGAGGACACCAACACGACATGACATGGACATGCAGACACGCCATTTCTCTAAAAATTAGGACATGGACATGTCGAGGACACGTTGAATATGATATATATATATATATATACATATATTATACATCTACATAAAAGACTGACACTATTTAAATTAAATTAGGGTTAAAAAACACAAAAATATGAATAATATTGTAAAGATATTAAACCAGCAAAAGTACTAAATCAAAATTCAAGAACAAAGCAACCATGAAAATATTCATTTAATCATCGTTATTTTATAATTTCACCATTTGACACTTTCATATAATTAAAAGATTGCCCATCCAGAAATTTGCCAACAAATACATAAAATTTCTGTACATAAACCAAAAATGATTGTCCCAGACATGCCAAACACTGATACGTAAGGGCAGATCAAGTGTCCATATTTCATATTTAGCATATTAGCATCCAATCAACAATCATTGGAGATTGTTGGAATACGACAAAGGTCATCGAATATCATGGATATGGGAGATAAAATTTTTAGTTTCCTCTCTTTCTCCTTTTTGGTTCATTATATCTCTCTTTCTTTTTTTATTTTTTATTTTTTTATTATTTATGTTTCAAAGAGCTAATGGTTTTCAGGTCGTAGCTTATTTGTCTCATTGTCATCTCTCTTTCCCCCAAAAAACACCCCTCTCTGATTTATGTGTCTGAAAATGCCTTCCCCTCTTATTCTCACGACAAGCAACACAATCACGGCAACAACATAGCAACATAATCTGACTCGTACGACGAAAGTAATAGAGATGATAGAGCAACACAATCCAATCTCCCTCTGCAGAGCAACACAGCACAATGGCTAACCACTCTCTCTCTCTCAAATTTGTCCAATCTCTGTCGTCCAACCTAATCTGTCCAACCAAATTTGTGATCTCGACTGGTGAGTCCTCACTCTTAAGTTAATTCTTATCGATTGTCTTTTTTGTGGATGATCTATTAATTATTTAAATCTAAGCGATTAATAAACATTCAACATCCATCAAAAGCACTAAAGAAGAGGGGAAAAAAACTAGTTGGCCCTTCTTGACGTGTCCCTTGAAAACAAATTAACCGTGTCTCTGTCTTGTTCCCCTGAAAATAAAACCGTGTTCCCATTGTGTCTGACACCGCTAAGGCACTTATTTTGGAGTGTTGGTGCTTATTAGCAAAATATTCAATTTAGTTTGCGGGGCAAAAGGAAACCTAACTCAAACCAACCTATGAACAGCCTTACAAGTGAACTAGCCTTAACATTTATTATTTTCACTAAGTGTCACATTTTGTTGATAAGGATAATGCCCACAAATTATTCGAAAATTAGGTCACAGATCACCTGTAGGTTGTAATGTAAACTTGTAAAATTCCCCAAAAATAAAGAACTGTTGTCAAATTAAGGAACTAGTAATTTTTGGGTTTGTCTGATCTCCCTTGTCCAACCAAATTTGTCCCTAGGTCGCATACAGAATATTGCTCATAACTTGTAAGTGTATAGACTTTGGTTGAAAACCTAAATTAAAGGCTAATTAAATGATTGAAGAAAACCCATCGGCATCTTGATCTCAAGCCAATCGACGTCGACTAACTACCTTACCTCTCGATCAACTTATTGTTCTTTGTCTTCTTATTCAACATCGATCAAATACCTTCAATCAGCTCAAAGAAAACCCAAATTGGCATCTTGATCTTAAGTAACAGGGCCATGTGACATTGGCCAGGTACCTTACCTCTTGACCAAGTACTTCCTCTCCCTTTGTGAAATAGAACGCCTTAATTAATGTAGAACAATGTCAGAAAAGAGAGAAGAACACCAAAATGGCCACAACCTAAATCTCTCAATAATATTTTCAAAGTTGAAGAGTACAATGCAAACCTAACACTTCCTATTAGAATATGGAACAAATAATAATAAAATCCTAACCAAACTAAATATCTTAATTAAAAAAAAAATACTAGAACAAAAAATAATAAGACATGCTAAAGACAATTATAAAATATCCATGGTGCACACGTTCCGCATCATTCTTTCCAACTATGAAAAAGACCTCGTCCTCGAGTTCTCCCCTTAAGTATTGAACTTGTTCATGCCAGAGAATCAAATATTTTCGAATATGCGGCATGCTTTGTTGTCTTTCCACACCAACTAGTCTCAATTTTCAAGGTGTTGGTGAGGTCCACTAAATTTGGATTGAACATGTGAAGAAGCTCTTCAACACCAATAAAATCATTATTCTCGATTGTGATGAAATAATTGGTTGCAAGTTCTTTTGGCGGAACCACTTCGTGCGTGAGATTGTCTTGCATTGCATTTATGGTTTTTGATATTTGACTGCTTCTGAACTTTTCTCCAAAATAATTTCTCTTTCTTCGGGCATTGGAATAGGGTGATCAAGAACCTTCGTATGATCTTTACAAGCACTTTGAGAAATTCTTGAATTTTTCTCCTTAAAAATGGACCACCAATTTATCCAAGGTTGATTACATTTGACGCAACATCTAGGTTATTTGGTCATGCTGATCTATCATGAGCTTGGAACTTTGAGTTATCTCTTGTTGGTCTTGAGAAATTATATCAAACTTTGAATATGACTCAGAGTTGGTCATCATGACGGTAATAAGGATGAGGGAGTAAATAGGAAAGATGTTTTTTTTTGGGTTACAGACCTGGTTGAAAATGGTTGGATAGTTTTTACAGCTGGAGTAGAACTCCCCAAGTGAGTGTATTATGGGGGACCGTCAAGCACATCCGGCAAGGATCAAGGAGATCTCGTTGTTGCAAAGCTTAGGTCGGAGCAAGGTGCCATCGGACATTCAACATGTAGTCTCACAATGGGGCACTCATGCCTGGAAGTTGTCATTGTATATTCCTGCAGGTCAAAAGGTGGTGGGGGAAGGAGGGGGACATTGGGCGAGATCTATCAGCAGCGAATCCCCCATACAAATAGAGGTGCCTATCAAAGGCAGCTGGGCAGGTTTGGGGTTAGGTTGTTCTAGGTTTGGGCTTAGTGTAGCAGAATATGGGTCTGGTCTTTTGTGTAGACTAAAGTTTGGTGAGTTGGGTCAAGGTTTGGGTTTGAAAGTATTGGATTAGGGTTTGGGTAATTAGTGGACTGGTCTGGACTGGGTTTGGGTTGCTTATTGATCGTTTGGTTGGGCTGCTGGGGTTGAATGTGGGTTGGTTGAAGGTAGCAGAAGTCAGCCTGTTTTAAAGTAACTGGGCCTTTCTGTTTTTATTTTTTAATTTTTTTTTCTTGGGTTAAATCTGTCTGGTAGGCTTGTGTCACAAATGTTGAGACTGCTGGTTTATGGGCTTAAATATATTAGGTTAGTGGGGCTTGGTTAAGGCTATAACTAAAAATGGGTGGACCTCAGTTAAAATGGCTGTGTTTGAGTGTTAAATATTGGGTCAGGTTAACCATTGGGTTCGGCTATAGGGTAGGCTTTGGATGATAGTGAAAAACCTTGTACAGAGATATAGCGTCTTGCATGGCAATCAACAGTCGAAGCCCTAGACTTCTTTGAGTCACAACAGTTACTAGCTTAGGGGATGGACGTCAACGATGTATGCCAATGAAGTTGTAACGAGATTCTGGAAATCTTGCAGGAATAATTTCGTGCTATGCGAAGCTGTGAATGCAGTATGGTGGCTAAGTGCTAAGTACTGGTCGCACAAGGTCTTGCTGTTGGTTATTTTATTTTTATTTTTTTCCAATTCAAATCCTCTAGGTTGTACAAAGGAGACAACCACGTCGATTTGAATGAGATGATAGTGATGATGGTTCGAAGATGTAGTTGTATGATGAAGGAAACTACGTTGATTGAACAGAAATAGATCAACCTGGCTTTGATACCAAAATGATTTGGAGCATTTGTGGAAAGAGGAGAGAGAGGAAGAAGCCATATCCCTAACACAAAATGGCCACAACCTCAATCACTCAATAATATTCTCAAAGTTGAAGAATAAAATGCAAACCTAATACTTATATAGGCTAAAAACCCAAATAAAAAAGGAAACCGAATCCTATTAGAATTTGGAAACAAATAATAATAAAATCTTTGCGGAACTAAATTTAATAATTAAATAAATACTAAAACAAATTAAATAATAAATTCTAAAGACAAAATTATAAAATTTCCATGGTGCACATGTTCTGCATCACTTTGTCTCTCAAGGTGGCAAGGCCAATTGATGCCAATCAGGTACCTCCTCTTTTCTCTTGTTTCTTCTTCTTTCGGTTGACCTTGCAACCGTGTTGTCCCTCTTTGTAGTATGGTAGTTTTATTTTTATTTTTATGGGTGGATGAAGTATGTAGCACTGTATGGTTTTGCTTTTTAAGTGATATCTTGTAATCAATTTCATATATGGTATAAAAGAAGAAAATCAGCAACTTCTGTGAGTTTTAGTGTTATACAGATGAGGTGGCTGTTATCATAATTGAGAGGCATAAAGTAGCATGGAGCTTTTGAATTTTTTTCTTTTGGATTTTTTTGTTTTGTTTTAGTTTATAATTAAATGAAGAAAATTATGTTGCTAGAGCTGTTCGAGTTGAAGAAAGTAGCCAAAGAATTAGGGGTTCGAGATCATGGGATACGTTGAAGAGGCAAATTCAGTTGAACCAAAAGATTTGGAGGGACATATAAAACAATTGTTGATGAAAAAGTTGATTTGCTTGGTGTTGATGATGATGTTTATGACCTTAGGATTAGTGTAAGTGTAGGACTACATGTTTATTTGATTTGCCTTTTTATGTTTCTAAATGTTAAAATGTTAGCGTTTGTTGGATGTCTTCTGTTTTTGTTGGCTATTGGCATTTGGAATGTTGGATGCATTATGTTTTTTTGGGATTGCTGATTTTTTTTCTAGATGACGATACAATAACTATCTGTTTTAATTCAATTACTAGTTTGTTCATAAAAAGGAAAGAGTATTCTACTAGGGTTGCAGCTGATGAGCAAGTCTGCTTCAGCTGATTAGCAATCCAACTTGACATAGATATGTGGTCACACCTAACATGAAGATGCATATAGATGACACAATAACTCTTTGTTCGTATATATGTGCATCTCTGTGTGTTTGTTTGATGTATGGGCGAAGAGTTGTAGCATGAGAACTGATATTACTGTTCTTTACTGTTTTGGTTGCCTTGGTTTTGTTCATTTATCTGGAACATTAATGAGAACTATTCTTATAAATGACAATTCTTACATGTATTCCTGCTTTCTGATATGTTGTGCCAAACCTGCGAGCCTAAAATTAGTGTCCACTATATTGACAGGAGTCATCAAATTCCAAACTCCCCTCGAAATCTTCTATGTCTAAGTTGAGTTCTCGAAGGTTGCAAGACGTGCCTAATGACTACAGGCCTGTTCATATTAAATGGAAAGACCTTGATAAGTGCAATGTTTGCCACATGGATGAGGTGAAAAAGCCTGCTTTTCTTTTCAATGAATCATCATTTTTACCCCTCACAAATGCATTCACCCTCACATGGAATAGTGTTTCCCTTTTCTAGTCCTGTTTAGCTTTCCTGTACTGGCATTTGCCCCCTCTCATAGGGAGTCTTCTTAGTCTACAATGCTTTTGTCATTTTAAATGCCTGAATCTGCTAATGAAGGTTTGTTGTTTTCAGGAGTATGATAATAATCTGTTTCTGCAGTGTGATAAATGCAGAATGATGGTAAGGCCTTTATTTGCATAGCTCTATGGTATTTTTCTAATTGCATATCCATCTTTTGGTGGTAACCTACCATTGAGACAGTTGATTTAAAAGTTCAATTTTTTATTCAGCCTTAATGTGTGCTCAAAGACATGCTAAATCCTATGGAAATTAGAGCCTGTTGATGAGATACTTTGGTTGTGTTACCTATATGGTTCAGTATCTATGGGGTCTTATAGTCTAAGAAGCACGGACATGGACATTGACATTGACATTGACACGTGACACAACAATTTTGAAAAAAATAAGAATACAGATACGGAGGGGAAACAACAAAAAGTACATATATTTTTTCTATATTTTTATTTGCTATGTGTATGAATATAAATTTAGGGCATAGATATATAAGAGACATCAATGTGTATGTGGATGTGTTTATGTTTTTTCCACTTTCTCCACTCATTGTTTCTATATATTTTACTGTGATCTGAAATTAGCTTTCTAAGATTATAAAAAAAGACCAGCAAAGGTATCTTGAGGCATGTCCAAATACAGGACAGTGTGTCCTCCAAGTGTGTCTAACATGTCTTGCAAAGAATAGTAATTAAAAAAATTGACAGATCATCTGCTGTGTTTGACACGTGGACATGTGTGTCCATGGGGTGTTAGTGTTCAATATGTGTCAAACACGACACCACACCCATTTTGAATTGTCGAAGCTTCATAGCTTTTAGTTTTAGTAGTTTGATTACTTATACCAAAAAAAAAAAAAATAGTTTTCGTATTTTGATTAAGATGTTCCCAACTTTACTCAACAAACCTTTGTGCTCCGATTACTTGGGTTTGACTACATGGATCCATTTATTCTAGTTCTATTAAAAGCCATTTCTTCAGTTAAGTCTAAGAAAATCATGTATTTTGCTACCACCTCAGCCCATATCCTCATTGTTTTTCATTTTTGTTTTCTAGCACCCTCAATGTGAATCAAATCACTCAATTATTTGGCCTACTAGTGTTGGCGTATGTCAAATGTTGATTTATAAAAAAATACAACAATGTTATAATAATAAGGATTAGTGTATTAGACACATTTATCACGACTAATTGAAAATAGATATTGTTGTTAGGTCTATTATTTCACTAGCATTTTATTTCTGTGGCATATATATTTTATTGCAAAGATAGAAAATTGAATATAGCACAAGTTCTATCCATAATTCTTTTATTAAATATTAATTTCCAGATGGTTCAAATTTAAATGTCAAATACTTTTTAGAATATTTGTAGGCATTGTCACATTTCACTTTTGGACATGACCGACTGCGGATGACGGAGACTTGGCAAATGGAATAGGAAAACGGAATAGGAAAACCAATATATAATAAACTAGCAAGTAATAATAGTAAAGTATGCCCTGTAGAGAATATAATGTACATGGAACTATGGTCGAATATTCAATATTCAAGAGTGGGTTAGAAACAACCCACAATCATTAATAGTCAACAGTGGGACACAAACAGCTCAGAATCGAATAACATAATCCAGCAAGAGATGCAATAGTTTGAAACATGAACAATGCATCATTGTCTCAATTAGTGAAAATAAGTCTACTAAATGCATAGAATGAAACATAAAAGGTCACATACCCTGGGTCCTAACAGATGACACGGAGCTCCTATCTAATGCTCTCACTGCTCACTTGGAATGATGTAAAGAGGGGTAAGCACAAGAACTAAGTAATGGAAAACATGCATAGTACAATACATTAGTAAAACAGGGTTTAAATTAAAATATCTATTATTCAGAAAATAGTAGGCATCCCGTTCTAGTTGCCAAACTAGTGATAATAAATATCTACCGAATAAAATGGGTATTGTATTTCAACAACAAAAATCTCAATATGTGTATCAATCTTAAATCAGAAGTGAGCAGAAAACATGTCTAAATAATAAAGTAAGGGCTCAGCGTAACATCATCATGATTGTACACAATTATATATATGGTACCATAGCAATAAAATTACAATGCTAGGCAAGTCTTGGGGCATTCTCGGCCTTGTTGGATCCAACATTGAACTTAGGGTCATTATTGGATGGGCTTGCGCTTATCACCATCATCTACATACATATATGGGATATGGGTGAGCCAAATCCCAATGAATGGCACTAAATCTAAGCTATAAAAAGTATGGATATCTTCATTCTCATGAAAAATAACACGGCAGAACAAAGAGCTTTATCAACTTGAAACATATAGTATTATTTACATTACATTTCCAAATCATGATAATGTACATCTATCGGAACAAAACAAAGGAAACAAACCCACACACATGTAGTAAAGGAGATCTTAACATATGTTTTTAATATATTTACTGTCCTAGTGGCTCAGACTAGCAGACAATGTCATTTAAATTCTTTTCAAATATAAATAACTTAGGATATCCATTCACATCAATTTTTTCAATATAGTTCATAACATTACATAATTTGCATTCTGAAATAATGGTTCAAAACATAACTTTGATAAAACACTACTCACCTCAAGCCTTTCCAAGTGTTAGTCACAAGTATACTCAATCTGCGTCATGTAAGGCAATTTATGTTGGTACACAATTCATAAATCTTTGTTCTTCAATTCTTTCTTCAAAAGATTGTTTTCAAACAAGATCAACCAATTAGAAGGTTATAATTAGGTGTGGGAACGTGAATTTTCCCTCAATTCAAGCTAGGAACTAGTCTAGGTCAAGGAGTTAATCTTTACCCCTTTCTTTTTCCCTCATCTCTTCTCTTTTCCTTTTATTCTCTTTCTTTTCAGTGCATAATTCTCTCTCTCTCTCTCTCTCTCTATTTTCTTTTGTTTCATTATCATGAGAGATTTGTCTCTCTTGTATATACATCCAACTTGTTAAGTAGGAGGTGACACATCCTTAAGTGAGGTGTTTGTGTGATCATCTCTACTAATTACACCATCACCTTAATTAATCAAGGCTAACACTAATTAAGCTAGGTTAGTATTAATTAAACAAGTTTAGCTCACTAATCACACTTTAATAAATTATGCTTAAGCTAAATTGATCTTGATTAAATCCACTAATCACTTAACTATCATGAATCCCAATTAAATTTTCACATAATATATTAGAATATCAATCACATTAAATTGCGGCTATTAAGCACCTTGATTAAGACAATACAAATATGCATAAGCATGCAATAAAAGGATGAAAAGAATTGTTTTGGCTTATCTATGAATGAGGTAGAGCCTTGTATTTATAATGAAACAATATTACAAATAGGAAACAAACAAAATAGGAAACAAAGATAAAAAAAGGTATTAAATCTGTGATTGGCACAATCGTAGATTTTATACAACTACCATAATTGCAATATCACTATTTCCTAATTCCAACACTACCATAATTATGATATCACTATTTCCTAATTCTAACACTTCCCCGCAAACTGGTGTGAAGATATACAATAAATCAGCTTGCCGATAGATGACTGGAGTAATGTTGGGCCTACAGACTTGGTGAACCTATCTGCTAACTACTGAGAAAAAGAGACAAAGGATGGTCTCACAATACCAATCTAAACATTCTCTTGAATGAAATGTATATCAACCTCTATATACTTAGTACGCTCATGTAGGACAGAATCAGAAGACAACATAATAGCAGACTTGTTGTCACAAAACAAAGAAGCAGAGCAGTCTCCTCAAATCCTAACTCTGCTAAAATAGAACGCAGTCATAGAATCTCACAAGTGCCTTGTGCCATAGCCCTATACTCATCTTTTGCAATAGACCTAGAAACAACTGTTTGCTACTTACTTTTTCACGATATAAGATGATCACCATAAAAAGTACAGAAACCAGAAGTAGAATGCTTATCCGCTCTAGATCCTGCATAGTCAGCATCAGTAAAACAGGAGAGTCCAGATTGAGGATCAGCTATGAGGAACAATCCCAAGCCAGGAGAGGTCTTCAAATATCTCAAGATGTGATGAACCGCATCAAGATGTTCTGTACGAATGCATGTATGAATTGGCTAACCACACTAACCGCAAATGTCAAGTCAGGTCTAGTATTGGTCAGATAGATGAGACGCACCAAAATCCTTGTCAGGAACTTGAGTGAAGCCTAGCCTACACTTCTTCTTAAAACCCAAGTATTAAGGAGAGGGAACTGAAACCTTATAACTAGCACAGATGGGGCAACTCCAGGCAATGTGAGACACATTCCAACACACCCTCCTAGACCACAACCTACACTAGCCAGACAAACGGCACACCAGTCACAGGCCTAACCAAGCTCTGATATCAAATTGGATGAAAAGAATTGTTTAGGCTTACCTATGAATGAGGTAAAGCCTTGTATTTATAATGAAACAATATTACAAAATAGGAAACGAAGATAAAAAAAAAAAGTATTAAATCTTTGATTGACATAATCACAGTTTTTTATACATACTACCATAATTACAATATCACTATTTCCTAATTCCAACACTACCATAATTATAATATCAGTATTTCTTAATTCCAACAGCAGTGTCCAAAAGAAAATTTTCAATCTTGAATCTCAATTCATTTCATATCAAAGAAGCATATGATATCAAATAGGCAAATCATATAAGTAGCATATAGAAAACTTAACATAGCAAATCATCTCTTAAGACAATTCATATTGCATGTTCCTAGCCTTTTATATAGCGAAGGAAAACAATTCAAGACTAAACTTTCAAGTGTGAAATGAAAATATACATGTCATGCAATAAAAACTAGGGTGTTACAGCCACCATCGTGAACGCCAACACACCCGTATTTGGTTTGGGAGCGAGATGGCAATGCTGGAGGCAGAGTAGAGAGGGAGGAGAGAAAGAGGGGTTGGAAGGGTTAAGGTTAGCGTTTTGGGTATTAATTTTGTATAATAATGTTTTATTATGTCACGTGACTGCCAACGTGTCATTTTCCATCCAATTTTGGACAGACATTGGTTTTTAGTATATTGGGAAAAAAATTAGAAATGTTAGGGAGCAATGTGGGGAAAAAGAACTTAAAGTTGAAAAATATTGAAACTTAAAGGGGGCATAGTGTAATTTACCCTTTAATAAAATGTTTTGTTGCTTTTCAAAAAAAATAAAAAATTATTGACATGTTTGATCTTCTGCATCATATACTTGTTGCTATAGAAATTTATAAAATTGATTAAAGTTCTTATCTAACATGTGTGTACATATGAAAATATATTATTCTATATTGCAGTATCTCCTAATCTTGTTAGATGTTGCCCATGTTAATGCCTCTGTGCCGTATTATGTGTGTTGCCTGTCCAATGTCTTTCTGTGTTGTGCATGGACTAATATCACCGAACCTGTAGTAATATAGAGATTAGATAAATTACTGATGTTGCTGAAGTGGGAGGAGCTTATTTCGATGCATCCTTCCTAGTCTTAGCTTGTGATCACACTCCTATTGTGGTTTGAAAGAAGTGTATGCTACTTAGGTGCTTCTTGGTCAATTCATAATTTGAGCTATGGTTTCTCAGGTTCATGCTAAGTGCTATGGGGAACTAGAGCCTGTTGATGGGGTACTTTGGTTATGCAGCTTGTGTCGTCCAGGAGCTCCTGACTCCCCCCCACCCTGCTGCCTTTGTCCTGTAGTAGGTAGTTCAATGTCATGAATTTTTCCTTTTTTCTTTTTCATCTTATCACCAAATGTTTTTTTAATATTTTTTTATGTTGCTGCAATGGTTATACATCATGGAATCTGGAATTAACTTTTTTTCCAGGGGGTGCTATGAAGCCTACATTGGATGGACGCTGGGCACATCTTGCTTGTGCCATATGGATACCAGGTTTCTGAGTGTATATTGAACATCTTAGTTTCTTTGGTAGCATCATGTACGGTTTTTGTTGACTGACCTAGTATGTTTCAGAAACTTGTTTATCTGATGTCAAGAAAATGGAGCCCATTGATGGAATTAGTAGAATCGCCAAGGTAATTTTCCCTTATTTATTTATAATTTGTATTGCAATGACTTTTTTTTATTTATTGATTATGTTCTTTTCCATAGTGGTTTCCTTGTGATGATATAGATAAACTTCAATATTACCAATAATCTCCAATGTGAACCCCAACAGTCTGTTTGGATCAAGTGATTTGGTGGGAAATGATGAGAAATATGATTTTTTTTCTCTCATGTTTGGTTGATAAGTTAGGTGAGAAGTGATGAATAGTAAGAAAGATATATCTTATTTTATAGGTTTCATTTCTCACCAAAAGTGGTGAGAGTTGGTGAGAAACAAACTGATTGGTTAGTTATAGTGTTTTTCATAATATCAAGGTTGCCCATTAAAATACAAAGGAAAACAACTAAATCCCACTCATATCCTTTATATCACATGCTTCGCTTTCTTACTGATCCACACATGATAGTGATAAAAAACAATAATTTCTTTTATTTTCTCACTTAGATTGGAGACAATAATAATGTCTTTTCTTTTCTTATCCTGCAATCTAAATAGAATGTAAGTGTCACAACTATGTTATTTCTATCCAAACTAGGACTGAAAAGTAGAACAAAATAACAACAAAGGGCTCCGAGTGTTCTAAGTTTTAGCAAAATTTTATCTTTTCCCGTTATATCGCTTATGTTTTCTCTCTTAGGACCGCTGGAAGCTTTTATGCAGCATCTGTCGGGTTTCTTATGGAGCTTGCATCCAGGTAAGAGTGGAACTGTATAATTACTGTGATTGTTATTTCTAATTGTCCATCCATAATTTGATCTTATAATGGTACTTTACTATTCTCAACTTTTTCGGGTCCTATTTTTAGTTACATAATTATGTGCCAGGCGGCGATGCACTTGTTGAACTTAAAAAATTCAAAGAAAAAGTAGATTGATAGGATCTTTGGGTTTTCTTGACGTTGTAGTGATTTTAACAATGCGTACTTTGTTCTTCTAGCCCTTCTCTTTCAGAATTATGTATTGCACATTTGATGTCATAGTAATCCTTTTTTTTTTTTTAGGGTTTTGAGGCTAGCGATTCTTACTATTTCTTTGTTTAGATCCCACTAGTTTGGTAACTAGGTTCAATATTGTGTTACCTTTAAAGGTTGCGACTCAATATGATGGAAATTGCTATCCACCATTAGCCTTGTGGCATGAATTTGAGCTATGAGAATCAGCGTCTCCACAAAAAAGTGGCGGTAACGTTGCCTACCTATTAGCACTTGCATACTCAATTGTAAGTGGGAGTTTGTGCGCGGGGTACTTTTTTGTCTTTGCTTTGCTTACCCTTCTAATACCTTTTGATTTGAAGCATTTTACCATTGTCTTAGATTCTGATTTACCTAGGTATAGATAGCCCCATTTTGTGAGCGAGCAACCTATGGTGATACCAAGCCTAGGAATCATGGATACGGATACAGAGATGCTACAAAACTTAAAAACATAGGACACGGGTACGGCTAGGATACATTTGTGGAAAATATAGGGTGTGTTTGGTTTGTGTTTGTAGAGTAGTTTTTGAGATAAAAAAGTACAAAAACTTGTTTGGTTTGCCTTTTTCTAAATATTCTCTCTAAAATAACTTTGGCTTTTTTTGTAGAGTAGTTTTTGAGATAAAAAGTACAAAAACTTGTTTGTTTTGTCTTTTTTCTAAATATTCTCTCTAAAATAATTTTGGTTTGTATTGTAGAGTAGTTTTTGAGATAAAAAAAAAAACAAAAACTTGTTTGGTTTGCCTTTTTGTAGAGTAATTTTTAAGATAAAAAGTACAAAAACTTGTTTGGTTTGCTTTTTTGTAAAGTAGTTTTTGAGATAAAAGTACAAAAACTTGTTTGGTTTGCCTTTTTTGCAAACATGTTTCAAAAGCAATCCTGAAAATTGGATAACCAAACACATTTCTGAGGGTTTTTTTGGAAAAATCTGTTTGGTTTGATTACTCTTAAAAAGTGTTTGTAGAGTATATTTCCAAAAAATTTCTCCCAAAATAAAACCAAACAAGGCCATAGTTTTTAAAATTAGTAGTCGTGAGTTACACATAAGTTAAAGAATGTTGAAAAATCACGATGTAATTTATAATGCAAAATACTAACATTTAAGTATTATGTATTAATTTAAGCTAGTAGCTTGTTTATTTTTTAAATTTTTAGTAAGTCTTGCAAATATTTTATTTATGTTTATATTATAATAATAGAACAATCCACAACTTGTCTATGTGTTTTTCCCTTTGACACTAGTAAAAAATATTGTATTAAAGTTTACTTGCTTATTTATTTTTTGATATTTAATTTTACTATTGTTATATTCTTTTATTAATCCTTACTTTCTATGTAGTTATAGGAGACATGCATGAAACAATTAGGATACATCAATTTGACAAATTCCATTATTTAATTCACTATGTTCTTCTTATCAAAGAACTAAGCAAAGTATTAGAAAAATATTATTATATTTATCCTTGCAACTGTGTTATATTATAATATTATGTAAGAAATGCTACAATTCTAATTTCGTAAAACAAGTAATACATGACTTGGAGTATCCGATACTTCAAAATTAAGTATTCGATACTCCAAAATTAATGAAAAATTAATTAATAAGTATCCAATGCTTTTAATAAGTATCCGGTACGTATCCGCTAGTATCCAACGAATATCGATATCTGATACGGATACGATATGGATACGTTACCCCATTTGAAGTATCTGTGCTTCATAAAGCTATATCTCTAGATTTATCAAAAAAAATAAAAATAAAGCTATATCTCTAGAGGCTAAAAAATTTGTCAATTATCCAAAGGTCCAGGGAAAAAACTTCTCATACAAAGGTCTAGCTAAAAATAATCACCTAGACTAAAGGTCCCAATGGTAGAAGTTATAGATTTAAATATAAAAAAAGGCTCTTATTAAGATTTCGCTTTAGGCCTCATTGAGGATTAGGCTGAGCCTGCTAACACCTGTTATATTATATTGATCACAGGAACTGTTCTAATGCCTATTGTTTTGTATATTAAGACCTTAGATTTATTTATTTTATGTGAATGACTACCATCTTGATTTTGTATAATTAAACATCTTTGAATACAAAATGATTCTTACGCTTAAGTGTCATTAGTTTTGTCTGTTAAGTGTCGTATTATTTAAAGTGTCTTAGTCTATAAATAGGTGATGTAATCTCATTTGTAATTAGCCTTAAATTAAAGAATATAGATATTGATTAGAGCAAAGTGCTCAGGTTTCACTCTCTAACTTTGGTGATGATTGGTGGTTGTGACTTGCAACATTGTTCTGACAATCTACCTGGATTCTGCATGACAACTTACCAAAGATTGAATATTAACCTTTTGGGTCTGGCTTCATGTACCTTGTTCCAGCCTATTCAATTTGCAAGACAATTTGTCAACAGAAAAAATTCTGTAGAATGAGAATAATTTTCTGATGTCCTGTCACCTCTTCTTTGAGTTTATCTGAAGGAAAGAAAATAGTTTGTAGGTACAGTTAATAAAACTAATATTCATGTAGTACTTGAGTATAATTAAATGGTGATAGCCATAGTCTCATTTTCTGGGAATTGACTTGTATTTTGTGATATAAATGATTTCTTCATTATTTTTTATCTTCTTTTTTGTTTATTTTAATTATTTGTTATAATATTGAGTTACAGTGTTCAAACAATACTTGTTGCGTAGCATATCATCCGCTTTGTGCACGTGCTGCTGGTTTTTGTGTTGAGGTACTTTTCCTTCCTCCTATGTACCTTCTTGGACTTTTTACATGCATAAAAATGCATATATGTAAACTGTTTGCTTGACAATTTATTCTGTTTTCGTTGATCGATAGCGAGATTCATATATGCCTGTTATTTACATTTTGGTGGTCGTATGTTTTTATAGCTTGAAAGTGAGGACAGACTTAATCTCATGTGTATGGATGAGGATGAGGATGAGGATGCACAGTGCATTCGTATGCTTTCCTTCTGCAAGAAGCACAGGTCACCATCTAGCGAGCTTTTAACAGCTGATGATTGTATTGTGCCAGTTGCCTGTCAATATTCAGAATACAGTCCTCTGGTTAATCCATCTGGTTGCGCTCGTAGTGGTATGTTCTCATATATTCTTTGTTCTATTTATAATCTTTGAACTGATCGATTCTCATGAATATGACACCCCCTCCTCTATTTTGACTGTCATTTTTCTTTTGGTTTTTTTCTTCTCTCTGTCTCTTTCTTTTCCTTTGGAATTGCACATCTGGGTAGTATGTAAATCTAATTGGTGCCACGCACTTTTTAAATTGTTTTGCTGTTTAAAAATTCTATATCATGTTTGGTTCTGTCAGTGTCAGCATGTATAATGGGTTTGTAATATTTATTTCTCTTCATTGGACAGAGCCTTATAATTGTATTGGTAGAAGAGGGAGGAAAGAACCTGAAGTTCTTGCTGCTGCATCCTTGAAGCGTTTATTTGTAGAGCAAAGGCCTTATTTGGTCGGTGGATACTGTCGACATGAGGCCTTGGGAAATACACTACCTTCTACTGCAGATGCTGGTTCTAAATTCTCCCTCAGTCTTCAAGAGCTAAAGACGTCTGAGCTTGATGCTCCCGAGAGCATACTTTCTATGGCTGAGAAATACAAATACATGAGAGAAACTTATAGAAAAAGATTGACGTTCGGTAAGCGCAAAGTTTGTTTTCTTTAAATTTTAACTTTGTGCATCATTTGAGTTAAGTTTTTTCCTCATATTGTTTCCTGTTGCTAGTATTTTGCTAGCTGTGTTCTTGCAAAACATTCTATATATTTCTGTCTAGACCTTTTAGGTTTTCCCCCCCACTTTTATTCAATCCATTTTAATTCATTGTTACACCCATTTTTTGACATTGTCTTTGTAATACTTGAACCTTAGAAAATGTTTTTTATTGCTTTATTTGACCAAAGAAGCAGATACGGTCTATTTGGTGAACTGATATGTAGGGCTTTCACCTGCTCAGCTTTGTTTCTTCTATCATTTAGTATTTCTCATGTTATTTAGTGTTGGGACATTGCCCACATTGAATGTAATCATGATAGCGGACAACGAACACTAAAATTAACATGTCATGTGATAGTAAGACATGTTAGTTTGTGGTTTAATTGCATTTATGGGGGCTGTTTTTAATGCAACCAAAATGCAATCAAGAATATCAAATCAAGAGATAAGACATATCCTCAACATTGGGGTAATCCCTACCGTTAGAGAGAGAAACCAAAGCACTTTGCTCCAATGAAATCTTTGTTCTGTAATCAAAAGCCGAGTACAATAAATGTTACATCACCTATTATATTTGTAGACCACAATTAATAGGACATTTTACCCACTAATTGGGCATTTACACACAAACTCATGATGCATAGGAATCATTTTGACATTTATTCTACTACATTAGTACTTCCTAAGAAGCACGGGCACGGACACGTAACACAACACGGACACACGGATACGCAAATTTTAAAAAATGCAGGACACATGTTGGGGAAACGGGCAAAACATATGATTTTATATATTTATCATATGTCAAATTTTTAAATGTTTAATATTTATTTTATGTCAAATATTTAATTTTATCAAATCTATCAACCTTAGATATGCTATTTTAGTTTTTTTTTTTTTCAAAATTTTTTTTTTAAAAAAAAACATGGTCCTCTAAGTGTCCAACACATGTCATCAATGTGTCCCCAATGTGTCCTCAGCATGTCCCAACGTGTCCGACTCTCTACAGCGTGTCCAACATGTGTCTGGCGCGTGTCCGTGTCCGACACGTGTCGGACACTTGTACGTCACTTTTGGTGAGGTGTCCATGCTTCATAGGTACTCTCTCTTAGAAGAATCTTGTCCTCGAGTTTAAGCAATAACTAAGTGAACTCAATTTAACATCGCTCAATGTATCCGTAGGCGAGGAATAGGCATTGAGTTCCTTGCTCATCGCAAACGTGATTTTCACAACTCATCCTTCGTAAATACATTAAACTGCATTCTCGGCTAACAATCAAAGGTGCAAAAGTGACAACTCCCATCATGCCCATACCCTCTTGCTAAATCTTGAACAAACCCCCATTTTCCCAAGCTCCTTCACCTCTGACCTGCATACTTGTGTAGAGGAGTGCTCACCCTGTCGGGATGAGACCAATAGGTTGGCAAAAGATGTCTTCTAAAGCAAGGCTGAGGAATGTGACACAACATAATAACATGATTAACAATGCATCCATGAGACAAGAACAAACTTGAAAGAAGCTGATCATGAGCCTGAATTTTGCATTGCACACTACTTGCTTCCTTTCCTTGGATGCAATTGTCAAATGAGTATCACAACAAGCAGCGCTTACTCAACTCAAAACACCGTCCTATAGAGGCATAAAGGAGTGCCAAACATACAGATAAGCTCTTTGAAAGTTTTCAAAGATATCATTGTACCTCTGCCAAGGCAAAATTTGTTACTCATTTGCTTCATCTTATTTCTTTGATTCTGATATTTAATTTTGAATAGCATTTTGCTTTTGAATATATGGATTCAACTCAGCACCTTCACCAAAATTCATAGTGAGACCTATGTCCCTACCTCTTCTACCCTTGTGAGCCATAATAAATGCAAAGCAAAGCTCTTACAATAGACTAAGTAATCAACACAATTTTCCAAATGGAACTTTTGTTTTGAATTCCAATCGGAACCAAATCAAAGCAATATGAAGCGATCGAACACAAATCGAGCTCAATCCAAGACAAGCAATCCATTTAGACTCAAATTTGAGAAATTTGAACCAAATCAACAAAAATAAGTCTTTAATCAAGCCTTTCGAACACATTTCTGAACGATTCAAACCATATTAATCCAAATCAAAGCATTGATGTAGTTTCTTGGACACTAATTTGAAGGATTTGAACCAAACAAGGATTTTGAACCAATTGGACACAAATCGAGGGCAAGCAGCAGAAATCAAACAAGATCTGAAGGATTTCGAACCAATCAGACACCAATTCTTGTTTGAAGCACTCGAATCAGATGGTTTGAACAAATCGCAACACCAATTCCTGTTTGAATCAACTCTGCTAGGGTTCGAAGCGCTTGAAAGTTGAATCTGACGTTCAATACCTTTGTGATGGAGATCAAGTTGCACAGTCAATTCAAAGATCGAGATTGGATCACGTTGTTGACTCACAAGATGAAATCCAGTCCCCATGGTGAACCACAAGATGAAACCAAGTCACGATGTCGAGTCTTAGGTTGTGATGCCGATTCACAAAGTGAGATCTAGTCGTGATTCTTCTCTGACTTTCACCATCAGTTTTAGGTTTAGTTCAAGTGTGACGATGTGAACTCTGACTTTGAATAGATTCACGACCACACTGAGATTCCATCAGGAGGTGATTATAAAGTGAAATGGATGAACTTTGATTGACTCCAATCACAACTTTTGAAGAGATTCTAGCTTGCATGAAGAGATATTGATACTCAAATTTGAAGTTGATGAATTTTTTATTTTATTTTTATTTTTAAATTTTATGGAAGCAGGACATTTATGGAACAAAGGTCAAGTGTAGAGGCTCTGATACCCAAATAATGCAACTAAAATGCAAACAAGAATATCAAATCAAGAGAGAGAATAATAATCCCCGACTAGAGGTAACCCCCAGGGTTAGAGAGATGAGAGCACTTTGCTCCTATCAATTCTATTTTCTTTAACCAAATCTAAGACAATAGCTGTTACATCACCTATTTATAGACCACAATTAATAGGACACTCAACCCACTAATTGGACATTTACATGCATACTCATGACACGTAAGCGTAAGACTCATTTTGACATTGAAAGCATTTATTCTACTAATCAATGCTCTGTTAAGTTGAATGTTGTCCTTCCATGAAAGTTTATGCTTCCAGTTTGCAATGCCGAGACCGGCTAATTAGATAATTTCATTTTGATCTGTATTGAGATTCTCGAGGATTTGGTAAAACTGCAATTGAATTTGAGTTGTTGCTGCTTTTCTATAAATTCAAAGTCACACCTATTTTGGTGGTGGAATATGCATGCAGAGCCTTATAATATTTGTTTGCTTCATTGATTTTTCTTTTTTCTTTTTTGTAATATTGATGGGTTTATGTGGAAACTTTTATAAATCTTTTGTCTTTAGAAACTACATTAAATAACAGCCATACTATCCTCCAAAAATTTCTGTTTGTGTTGCTTGATTAGTGATACTTCTGCAGCTACCATCTCCACTACCACTCTGTGATGTTATTACTTATTATTACTGCCATTGTCAAACTCCAAGCATACTCTCTCAACCTACGCCCCACCAAAAAAGAAAAGAAATAGGAAAAATGTAACTACTGTTCTAACTGGCACAACTATCACTGCAACGTCTATAACCTCTCCTAGCGATAGCACCACCATTTATTGTGTCAGTTTCTTATTTTAGCAGGCAATTTTTTGACAAGAGTGAGTGTATTATATCCATGCATAAAACACAAGACAAAACACCTATACAAACAAACTAATCTAAATGCTCTACAAAATCCAAAATTTGGTTTGAGGATGGTACAACTTCACCCAATAACCAATTATACAAAATGTCCAAAATTCTACTTTTTAAAATTAAAGCAAAAAGAGTTGTCTCAAAACACCATCAATAGTTATGTTGTGCTCCTTCCAAATGGTCCACATCAATGCCAAGAGGCCCAATCACCAAGACCTCCTTTCAACTCTAGTTCCTCTCCACGAAAATAACAATCCCAAGACGGAAGAAGGGAAAACTCAAGGCATCAAAGAAAATAAGGAACGAAGACCAAACAAAGCTCCTGGGCCACCACACAATGAATAAGAAGATGTTCCATTGATTCATTATCTTTCTTACACATACATACCAACATACATAAATTTGATTCCTCCAAATTAGATTATCGATGTGAATAATCTTTGCGTGCACCAAGGTGCAAACAAAAAGAGAACCATGGAGGTGGCTTTTGTCCCCAAATGGTCTTCTAAGGGATCAAATATTCCTTCGGCCTAAAAGAACACCATAAAAAGATTTAACTTCCATATGCACCTTAAATTATTTTCTGTCGATTGTGGCCTGTCAATTTAGGCCATAAGCGATATTCAAGAATTGCATCAACTATGGCCACATCTAGTCCAGTTGATTTTGGCTTGTTGATTTATGCCATGAGCCATCTTAAAAGAGTAACTATGGCCCCATCTAGACTTAATATTATTATTATTTGTATTGTTTTTGCAAAACGTATGGCACTTTCTTATCCAACTGGAAGTTAAGAGAAGTTACTTTAGATTGAAGGCATAGAGGACAAGTGGCAAGACAATATTGAAGATGGAAAAGATATGTGGCACTCTCTTGATCACTTGGAGGTTGAGAGAAGTTATGAAGGACACATGGCATTGTAGTAATGAAGATGAGAGATGTAGGAAGTTATTGGTGGTTACTTAGATGGTAGTCATCTAGGTAGTTTTTTCCTACACTTTTCTATAAATAGCCATCTATGGCTTCATTTTAAAGGCTATGGTCATCAAGAAACCCTACACATCGGGTTATATCTTTTAGGCTTAGGAGTAGAATTGATTTAGATTTGTTCCTTGACTATTTCGATAGTCCCTATTTGTACTCATTTTCCCTTTGAAGATTAATTAATTCAGTTTTATTATTTTTCATTTCTATTTTCTGTTTGTGTTGCCGTTGTTTTTAAGGAAGTCCTTGAAGCTTTCGAGGCATAGAACAACAACATAATTGTTTGATCATTGTGTTTGGTAAAAATTGTGTTAAGGCCCTGTTGATCTTAGCCTATCTAAAATTTTACTAGCATAAATTGGCACGCCCAGTGGGACCTGTCTAATTTGGAATCATGGAAAAAAAGTAGACTGATATGCATGGTGATCATGAGAAAAGACCTGTGGGTGACTTCAACCTCGCCATTGTCTTCAAGTCTGCTTTTGTGCATTCCATCTTCAATTGATTTCACTCTTTGGACCTCAAATACTTGAACTTATGCTCAATTTCATCCCAAGAGCCCAAGTGACTTGCACATATGCAAACCTTTTAAAAACCGTCAAGTAACAATGATTTAAAGACCTAACAGATGTACTTTAGAGGTCCTCAATGTGTACATTTCAGCACCTATCAAGGCCAGCCAAATCAGAGCATTTTCTCCTCCCCTTGGGACTAACATTTGATAAAGCATTCCAAGAGTCCTTAACAAATCTACCGCCTCCCAATCATTCAACTCTTGACGAAACAAGATGCCCAAAAGACGTTATCCCTTTCTTTTCTAAAATAGTCACTAACTATAGCTCCTCTATCAAAATCACAATCCTAGCATGAGAAGGGGAAATCATCTCCAAACCTTTCCTCCGCAAACAAAAGGTCTTGCCAAAAATGGATCTTCGAACCATTACCCACTATGAACCTCAATGATTTGGGAAAACATCCCATTCCCTTTTGATGCTATTCTAGAGATACATTTTTGTTAAAGCCTTCATTGCTGGCTGCTATATTACATTACTTTATTATTGTCTTTTTCTTTCTTTATTTTTTGAATACTTTGAATTATTTTCCTCTCCTTTGAATATCATTATTTTCCTTTCATTTGAATATCATTATTTCCGGCCTCTCCAGACTTTTAGAAACTCATAGTAGATGCTTCTAGAATAGTACTTTGCCTGTTTCAAATTATTATTATTATTTTTTTGGAGGTGAGATAAATGAATCCCTGCAGATACTTTTGGGACTTTGGAAGCTTGTTCTAAAGAATTATGTCACAACTCTTGGCCAATCTATTTCAAGGCAGTTAATTCACCTTTTTAACATTGGAAAGGTGTTGTGTAGTTCACTACTTGAGGTGACTTTGTTGTTAAGAGTTAAGATTTCTCTGCCAAAGACATCATCAAACCCAACCTTGACTAGTGCTTTCCAAGTAATGTCTGTCCTTAGAGATTAAAGGGCTATTGGCTTAAAGTACAAAAAGGAACTGTTGGTACACATGTTAGTTATCATATTGATGTCTTTTGATTCACTTGATAGGGTAACTATTTTTTAGTCAATGGGCCAGTCAGTTTGAAACCTTATGTTTGGTTTGTTATAACTTATATGTGTTTTCCAGTCTTCTCTTTTTAAGTATCTTGTTTCTCCTCTTCTGTTTATATCTTTTTGATATTAATTGCTTGTATTGAAATTTTGTATGCATATATTTATATATGTGATGATCTTCTTCTTCTAAAATTTTAGCCAAAATTTATAGCGGGATATTTTTATGGGGTGGAGGGGGAGAGGGTTTTCATTACCATTTAACTTAAAGGAGGGTGGGGGTTTGGGGATTCGACGTTTAATAGAGTTCAATTTGTCTCTCTTGGGGAAGTGGTTGTAGCGGTTTGTGGGGGATAGGGAGTGACTATGGAGGAAGGTGGTGGTGGCTTAGTATGGTTTGGGGTGGGGGGAGTGGTGTACAGATAGGGTGGGGCAGTCTCATGGGCAAAGTTTATGGAAGGGGATTTAATTAGGGCAAGAAGAGTTTTGGAAATGGGTGAGCTTCTAAGTTGGTGTGGGGGTTAGGGTTCGCTTTTGGAGGGATAGGTGGTGTGGTGATGTTCTTTTAGAGGAGAGGTTTCCTTTGATTTTTGATGTCGTTGTGGATCAGGAGGCGACAGTGGCCCCGTTTGGTAGAGCTGTGGGAAAGTGATTATAGATTATAGCTTAACAAATTATAGCTTATAGCCGTGAACCTAAGCTGTTAATCTGTTTGGTGCAGCTGTGGGATTATGGATTTAAGCAGCAGAGTAGTGTTTGGTAGATAAGTTGTAAAATAGCTTTTTTTTGTATAATTATCGTTTTTGCCCTTATATGATATAAAAATGATAATTTTGTCGATCGCCGGAGAGAGATTTGCTGCGATCGCGATGGGTGTGGATAGGGTTGTCGATCACGAGCTCTGGTTCGTCACCATTTGATCGTCACACCGTCGATGGCGAGCTCTAGTTCATCAATGGCGAGCTAGGGATTTGCCCTTCTAGTTCGTGAGAGAGAGAGAACCATAAATCACCCCATTGCCGGAATTCCCCTTCGCTGGAAATTGCCTCCATTCGCCGGAAATCGCCTCTTTGGCTCGTGTGAGGGACAAAAATGAGTGTTTTGATTTATATACATGGCACACTTGTAATAATTTGAAATAGTGAGTGGCATTTTAGTCATTTTACCCCTCGCATCTCAGCTGTGCGCTTAAGCTGATTTTTTACTTATAAATTAAGTTTCTCCTCCCCCCACTCAAAGAATAAGTTGATTTTTGACTTACAAAAAGGTATAATCTGTATTGTTAAGCTGAACCAAACACATCAAAATAGCTTAAATTAAACTAAAAACTGAAATAAGCTAGAAATAAGCCCTATCAAACAAGGCCAGTAGCATCTTATGGGAGTGGGCAAGGGCAAACGGTGGTTTGGAATGTTCATTTGTAACGTGATGTTCAGGATTGGGAGTTGGGTCAATTGATGGATTTCTTGGGGTTCTTGTATGGGCTACGGTTCCGGGGGAGTGGGTGGGTGGGGGAGGATGCTTTGGTATGGGATTGCCCGAGGACAAAAGGGATTTTTACAATGTTTTCATTCTATCAGGTGCCTGTGGGTGGGGCAACTATTTTTTTTCCTTGGAAGTATATTTGGGTGCCTGAGAGTCCATCCAAAGTTGCTTTCTTTGTGTGGACGGCGACTCTAGGTTGAATTTTGACTATTGATAATTTGATTCGATGTCGGCATATCCTAATTTATTGGTATTGCATGTGTTATGGGGATGCGGAGACGGTAAATCATTTACTTATTGATTGTCCGGTTGCATCGAGGCTTTGGATGTTCATAGTGGCGACCTTTGGCTTGGCTTGGCTTGGGTACAACCGGGGTCGGTGGTGAAGTTGTTGCAAAGTTGGGGTGGGGGAAAGGTTGGGAAACGCGTTGGAAGGCATGGTCGCTTGCTGTTCATTGTTTATTGTGGCTGATTTCGTTGGAACGTAATAGGCGCATTTTTCAGGGTGTCACTCGATCGGTTCCATGGTTGGAAAGTCGGTTACTTTTGGTGCTTCATAGTTGGGTCACGTTTTCTGTTGAGCCGGATGTGTTAGTCTTTGTGGATTTTGTGGATGGCTTGGTTAGTTAGTCTTTGAGTTTTCTATTTCGAGTCTTGTGGCTCGTCATTTTTGTATCCCTTTGTATCAACTACATGCTTTCTCAATAAAGTTTGTTTATTTATCCAAATTTTTTTTTATTCTTATAGAAAAAGAGTGATTGATTGTTGTGACTGCTAATGTCTCCAGGGAAATCTGGAATACATGGTTTTGGAATCTTTGCAAAACAGCCACACAGAGCAGGAGACATGGTAGATGATGTGATTATGTTGAAAAATTTGAAATACCTAAAATGCTTAATATTTTTCATCTCATTGTAGGTGATTGAATACATAGGTGAGATTGTTAGACCCTCAGTGGCTGACCGAAGAGAACGCTTCATGTACAATTCGCTAGTGGTATGTATATTGTCTATGTGCATTATTTTGTGTCATTCAGCAGAGCACTGATTTCACCTGTAAGGTTGACATAGTCAACCGTGAATAATTTAATTACTATTCTAAAAAGGTCGCCTTAAAATTTTAATTTCAGTGTGTTAGATATGCTCTTGTTGAAATCAACTAGCGTCAAGGAAAATCTAAATTGCATTGTCAATTTTATCTGTTTGGAGAATGGAATCAATGAAAAATGAGTGAACTACAAAATACCTAGTAGTGGAGTTCATCTCTTGTTGGGTGTTGAAAAATTGTATGGATGTTTAATGGAATAATGCAGTTATTATTTGTTAGAGGTATAGTTGGCTTGGTCTAGGCTAAGGCTTGGGAGGAAATCACCTTCGTTTTTGTGCATTAGGACTTTAGAGCTTTTTCCTCATTCATTATCTTCTTAATCTCTAAGAAAATTAGTTAACCAAAAGTCGCATGCATTTCATTTTACAGAAAAAATAAATAAATAAATGCAAAAAGAAAAAAAAAAAGAAAAAAAAAAGGAAGATCGAATAAGCAAGTTCAACTTGGCATAGTATGGACTTGTGTCTGTTTTTGGCAGTAAGGCTGGAAATGTTGCCACTTTGAGATAAAACATAAACAACGGAGTAGAAACATGGTGGGGAACCTTGTTTTTAAATCAACATGTTGATTTAACTGAACACTTATAACATTCAAATGCCCTCCTTTTTAACCTATTATATGAGCAGATTGGGGTGTCATCCTCTTTCCAATATGCAGTATTGTGATCTGTGAGAATGTGTCATCTTCTTTCTTTTCACGATGTGCTTTTAATAATTTCATATTAGTTTGACTTAGTTGCTTTGTTATGTTCTTATTAGAATGTTCCATCTTCTTGACATTCATACTTGCATATTTATTAACGTATGTCAAACATCGATTCAAGAAGTCGCACATGTGCAATTGTAGTTAAAGAGTTGAGTACAACTAATGTTCATGTACAATTGTAGTCAGGAAAATGCTATTGATACAAACTTTATCACCAGAATGATGTGGTGGTGGCATTTCTGTTATTAAATGTCATTCAAATGGCACTTTGTATTGAAATGATAAGTCCCAATGCAGCCACTTCATTCTGTATATAAATTATGTTTACTTTTTCAGTTTGTATATCACTACTTTTGTAGTTAAAGAGCTGTATGGTTGAATCATCTGTTTGTAGATCCTTGAACTCTATTTCATAAAATTATTTTTGTCATTTTCTTGAGCTATGCCAGGTTAATCTGTCTCGAATATGTTTGTAGGGTTATCCTGCAAATTTCTTTGAACTACACAATCATTTTCTTCTCTTGCATGTGGTATCTGATAGGTTATGTAGTTGTTAGGATTCATGTCTTGCAAGCTAGGCTGAAGGAACAACATAAATTTTAATCATGCGATATTTCCATAGTTTATCGGATATTTAGATGCTTGCTTGCTGAAAGAGAAAGAAACACCTCTGGAAAGGGCTTGACAATTTTTTTCCTTTCTCTTGTAGGGTGCTGGGACTTACATGTTTCGTATTGATGATGAGCGTGTCATTGATGCAACAAGGGCTGGAAGCATTGCACATTTAATTAATCACTCTTGTGAAGTAAGTTTATCTTTTGCTGTTTTATTCTTGTCTATTTCAGAATGAAAAAATGTGTGTTTTCCGGGAAAAAATCTTCCTCTTTAGTTCTGGTGGGTGATGAGTTCCCTAGTGAAAAATTAATTTGTTTATTATTGAACAAGAAAGGGAGGAAGTAGTAACAAATGGTTGTAGATTAAACTTTGTATGTGATGAGTTATCCTAACCTTATGCCTGTATGACTTGGGAGATTATAGCAACTAATTATTTCATTCAAGTAGCGAAAACCTTCAAATGACTAAATACAGATAAGATATAGGGATATCTCTTCGTAATGGCTAATGAATGCGTGCATGATTTAGTATCATTTACTTCGTACTACAGACTACAAACTACAGCGCAATTTGTTTCTCATGACTTCTCACCTGAAATTTTTTTTGGCATTTTCCATTTTTATCTGTTTTTATTAGAAAGTTCAGTACCCTGTTTTTCGCTGTACATAAATGGGAAAATTATCTAATAATTGCTTTGTATTCTCAGCTTTCTTTTGCTATTGAGGAACAATCAGAAGAAAGTTGTGCTACTTTGATGCATTTACTTATATTACAATCTAAATGAAGGCATGATTTTATGAATTGGTTTTTACTCGTTCTGTTCTTTCTGTGCAGCCTAATTGCTACTCGAGAGTTATAAATGCGAATGGTGATGATCATATAATTATATTTGCTAAAAGAGATGTTAAACAGTGGGAAGAACTGACATATGATTACAGGTATTTCTTGAAGTCTCTCTGTAAATTTTTCTGTATAATGTGTATGCTAACATTTTTGTATTATGCTGCAGATTTTTTTCTATTGATGAACATCTTGCATGCTGTTGTGGCTTTCCAAGATGCCGGGGTGTAGTTAATGATATTGTAGCAGAGGGACAAGCGGCAAAGCTGCATGTACCTCACAAAGACTTGATACATTGGAAAGGATAATGACAGAGGTTAGCAAATTAAGAGATATTTTGGGTCGTTCAGTATTTCTTACTGTTTTGTTTTTGCTAAGCTTATTTATTTACTGTTCTAAGTTGACAGGTTTGGTCTTTTACATTGTTTAGAGCATTTTATCTACTTTCACACACACACACACACAGGCAAATTCCTTGAATAGTTATGTAAATTTGGGTTGCATTGCTGGTTTATATATGTAGGGTTCTTTTGTGGGTTTACTTGTTAGTTTGGACATATGGCAAAAGCTTTACTGTTGTTTATCCATCCAGATTTCTTTCTTTCCAAGTTTTGAGTCTTCACATGCGAGGCTTTGCTCTTTGAGGTATGACATGAATGGATGAACGAAGATAGCCAGAATGGTTTCTTATTTACTTCTTCAATAGAAATTAGAAATTAGATTATTGTCGACCTTTATGTGTGATTGGGTGGTGAGACTGCTGGCACTTAAGTATGGCCACTTCTAAAGAGTATCCATGATTGGACACTGACGATTGTCTGACAGTTCTAGACATATCTCTAAGATGAGATACACATCCAGAATTTGGAATTAAAATTCTCTAGACATTTAGATGACATTTCTTGGCAAGTGTCCACACATGATAAATACCTCATTGATATTATGATTGATTTTAGTTTGTATTTGAAAATGTGTAATTTTGAAGAAAATTCAAATTTGGGTTTATTCATAATTTACTAAGAAGTTTGGTCATATTTAAATGAAAAGGTAAGATGGGATTTAGTTCAAAACAAGATAAACCCTATAGAGTAGAGTAGAGTAGTTACATTATGTGCGTGCATAGCAGAAGTTTGCATATATATATATAGTTATGTCCTTGGCACACCATTTTAAGTAGGGGTGAGCAGCAGATATACCGATCCGCCAAAACCGACCGAACCGAACCGAACCGATTCGCCGCATTTTGGACGGATGCGTGATGACGAGCGGACGGTTGCAGATTGGTTTTCTCCAATCCGTCAATTTGGCAGACGGATAGCGGATTTGAGATTCCTTTGGCAGCAACCAAATCGCCAAACCGCAAGCACCTCTAGTAATTTATAAGACTTTGTGTTTTCAATTTGTTTAAATATTTTGTTTGTGTTTTCAATTGAAAATGAGTTTAAATATTTTGTTGAAAAAAAAATTTCAACTTGAATATATTTTTTGAATTGAAAAGAATAAACATATTATTTATCTATATTTTTTGGTTTTTAAATCTAATTCTAAAAATAATAAATAGAAAATATGATATATGCTGGTTGGTTTATGTTTTAAAAAACATATATAGATGTAACAATACAAAGACATACAATCTCTACTACTGCTCTGTTCATGGTTTTGGTAGTTTGAATTGTTTTTATATTTTAAGAACCACAGATTGTAATACTTTATGTAGATGAATTATGCTATGATTGTAATATGTGGAGGAGGCATGCAGTGATTGTGATATTCTAAAGTTTCAAACTTTCTTTTTTTGGATGAGGCATAGAGTGATTGTAATACTTTTTTAAGTTATTGACTGTAATACTCTTTTTTTTTTTTTTTTTTTTTTTGAGGAAGTGCACAAGTTGAACTATATTGAAAATTTATAAAATTTCAAACTGCCAAACCGATTCGCATCCATCCATCAAACCCCGCTCAATCCACATCCGCCGGATTGGCGGACGGATGCGGATTGATTTTCTCCAATCCGCCAATCTGGCGGACGGATGATGGATTGGAGGTTTCGTGGCCGCAACCGACCCGCGCTCACCCCTGTTTTTAAGTATTCTCCTAGTTTACATGACTGCGTTATTTCATGTATGTGTCTCATGTACATGCCTATGCTAATATGGCAGTTAGAATGAATAATGAAGAAACTTAGGGTTAGGGTTTATAGGGTTCAAGAGGAAGAAGAGAAAGAGAGATTTTATATATCTGGAATTAAAATATTAACTCTACATCAGCAAAATATATATACAAATCCTAACATAGTGAAATGACCATCATTCCTTCAACTTAATTAAATATTAACAAAAGGACAATAAAGAAATAAACCAAAAAATAACAATTCTAACACTCCCCCTCAAGCTGGAGCATAGGGGTCAAACATGCCCAGCTTGACGGATAAATGATGAAACGAAGGCCGAGCCAAAGGTTTAGTGAGAATATCACCCAATTGATCTTCAAAATGAACATAAGGAGTCACAAGTTGCTTGCGTAGTAGGAGATCACGGATAAAATGACAATCAACTTCAATATGTTTGCTCGTTCATGGATCACAGAACTATTGGCAATGAAGATGGCAGCCTAATGATCACAAGACATACACATAGAAGTGGGAACAGAAAAATCAAAATCCCGAAGAAGAGACTGAACCAAGAGCATCTCAGAAGTAGTATGAGTCATGGCACGGTACTCAGCCTCACTACTAGAACGAGCAACAACAGGCTGTTTCTTGCTACGCCAAGTAACAAGATTACCACCAACAAATGCACAATAACCCGAGGTGGGATGGTGGTCAGTCCTATTACCAGCCGAATTAACATCACTGAAGCCAGTGATAGATAACGAGGAAGATGGGCAATATAGCAAACCCCAACTGGGGGCACTCTTTAAGTACTGCAAAATGCGACACACAGCAGCAAAATGGGGTTGGCAGGGAGCATGCATAAACTGACTAACTACACCTACGACATACCTAATATTGGGACGAGTGACAGTGAGATAGATTAACTTCCCAATCAACTGACGATAATGACCAATATTAGCAATAGGATGTTGAGTGCAAGTACGTTTACCTTTGTGGAGGGCAATAGGAAGGTCATCAGAGGACACATCAGCAAATGGAACAGGGGAGTCAGGAACCTTAGACGTAGGAGATGAACTAGTCGGGCCATAAGATACAATGCGACGAGCTTGAGACTGCTGATAAACCTACGAAGGAGGGGTAACGGGAAGACTAGAGGAAGAGGATGTAGAAGTAGAAGAGGAAGGAACACAAGACAGAAATATAGGGGTGAGAGAAGCTGGCTCCCTCTTATGACAAGAGAGGATCAGTGGATGATTGTTGCCTAGAGGAGGAGAAAAAATGAGTGGGTTCAAAAAGGTAACATCAACACTGACAAAGTATCGGCGTGACTCAGGATGATAACATTGATACCCTTCCTGAGTATGAGAGTAGCCTAAGAAAACACACTTGCGAGCATGAGGAGATAACTTATCTAAACTGGGTTCAGGAACATGGACAAATGCCACACAACCAAAGACACGAGGTGACAAGGGAAAAAGAGACGATGTGGGATATAACTGAGAATGGGGAGATGTGTGTACAACATTAGAAGGCATGCGGTTAATAAGAAAACAAGTGGTGAGATTAGCATTGTCCCAAAATTGTTTGGGAACATGCATATTAAACATCAGTGTGCAAGCAACATATAACAAATGACAGTGTTTATGCTCCGCAACACCATTTTGAGGAGATGTATGAGAACAAATAGTCTGATGAGTAATACCACGAGCATCACAAAAGGTTGTCACAATAAATTGCACATATTCTAAGGCATTATCAGACCGAAATATCTTCATACGTTTCCCAAATTGAGTAAATATTTCATTATAAAACTTAGAGATAATAGAAGGCAAATCAGATCTCTGTTTCGTTAAAAACCACCAAGCCATCTAAGAGTAATCATCCACAAAAATAACAAAATTAAAAAACCATTAACAATGGGTGTTCTAGAAGGACTCTAGATATCTGTATGGACAAGAGCAAAAGACTCAGACACATGGCTAACACTCTTACTAGGAAAAGAACTACGGTGATGCTTCCAAAATTGGCAGGCTTCACATTCAATCTGAGAAACATGACTCAAACTAGAAACAACTAACTTGAGCTTGGCCAAAGAGGGATGACCTAAGCGGAAATGCCACTGAAGAGGAGATATAGTAGCTCTCAACATGGTAGATGGAGGATGAGGAGGAATCTTAGTGTTCAAAAAGTATAAGCCATCCTTCTTATACCCCGAACCAATCATCCTCTTGGTTTGGAGGACCTGCAAAACACATGAAATCGGAGAAAATGTTACAGAACAGTGGGGAGCTTGAGTTAATTGGCTAACATAAAGAAAATTAAATGGAAACTTAGGAACATAGAGACCAGAGGGTAAGGAAAGGGATAGAGTGAGGTGGAGAGGACCTTGACCACTAGCAGGTCAAGTAGATCCATCAGCAAGTATAATAATATGACTAACAGGCCTCAGATTATTAAAAAGAGAGGAATTACTAGTGATATGAGAACTAGCACCTGAGTCTAATAGCCATGCTTGAGTAAACTTAGCCACACATGCAATATTACCTGAACTAGCCAGAGTAGCGGTAGAGGATGAAGGTATACTAGGCCAGAGAGATTGGACAAGAACAGTAAGCTCACTAATCTAAGTAGTGAATGTTTCATGAGAATCAACCGGAGAAGCAATAGAACCAGTAAAAAACAAGGATTGTAAGGATGAAGCATCCATAACCTGATGCACATGATCGTGTTTGCCATACTTTTGCCAACACCAAGGTTCAGTACGACCTTGGGAACCACAATGAGTACACTTGCGATCACCATGTGTGCGAGAGCTAGGTCCATTACTACCCTCACTACGGGAACCACCACCACAAGATGTACTACCATGGGAACCACCTCCGCGAGAACCTCGTGAACTGTAAGAAGAGCCCTGAAGGACAAATGGGCCATGAAAACCCCCTTGAGTAGGCCCACAATCTCCATTACTAGAGACCATTGCAGAAGATGACAAAGTAAAGGACCCAATTGTAGGTTGTGCCTAACCTAAGGAAGAACGTAACAGCCGGGAATAGGCATTAGTAGTAGAAGAGAGAATCTCACTGGCAAGAATTTGATCCTTGAACCCCCACAATTTAAGATCTAAGCTGGAGAGTATAGAAGCCACCATAAACTCTTCCTAATGTTGTTTTTGTTTGTTCGCATCAATAGTGAAGGGTCAATGCTACAATAACTGATCCCACAAGGTCTTGGGAGTACTATAATACTCGGGAAGGGATAGGCCGGATTGGCGGATAGCAAAGAGCTCATATAACTCATAGACCCGAGAGACATTACTCTGATGCGAAAAAGATTTAGCAATGGAGTCCCATATTTCCTTAGAGGTATCACAAAATTTCACAGTGGTGGCAACATGTGGCTCCAAACTGTGCCAAATCCAACCCATAACACAAGAATCCTAACTTCACCAATCGTCATATGCTTTATCATCTGTGCTAGGAGGGAGTTCGCTAAGGAAGCGAGACTTCTTCTTGCCACGCAAGAAAATTTTGACTGCATGAGCCCAAGCCAAGTAGTTGGCACCATTCAATTTCTTTGTAGTGATAGATTTAGGCATGTCATCATCTTTACCCACAGCCATAGCCATAGCCTTATCCTTAATCTCGGCCATAATTATCAATCACACAGAATACGCAACAAACGAGCACAAATGTAGCAAAATACTTGCAAATAGTCACTATCCACAGCAACCAGTAACCATAACAACCAATACAGGCAACCGAACTAGCTCAACAAATAAGAATCCATGACAAATCAAGCATAAGTGGGGAAGACACAGATCTATTAAACAGATTTAGACCTAAATTGAACCGACACAACCCATTTGCAGAAATTAACACTGAAGATCAATTATTCCTTGGTAGAAGGATTTTAGCCCCTATATAGTCAATTCCAATAGGTAGAAATGGAAAAAAACAAGTCTACTGAACAGATACTGAAGCTGCCAAATAAATTGAGGCACAAATTTGAACCAAATACTCACCCAACCACATCAGAACAACAAATTAACACCAAGTTTCACTAGGGAGCTAAGTTTCGGCTTCTATAGGATAGATTTCAGCAAGAACTAGGAAAAACAAGGCCAAAACTAGATTCAAAGAGAGGTACCAAAAAATATGAAAAACATTAGAAAATAGAAAACTCACATTAGGGAAGATAAAAAAATTCACAAAAATCACCATAAATCTTAGGAGAGATTTTCGAGCCCATGGGTATAGATTTCGTCCATACAGTGCTGATGTCATCGTACGGATGATGACGTCAGCACATCGCCAGTCACCTCCGATCTATGAAGCACGGATACTCCGAAATGGCCCCCGTACGCGTGTCGGATACGCGTCCGATACGGCGGGATACGTATCAGATATGGAAAAAAAGTATCCGAATTTTTTTTTTTAATTTTTGAATTTCGGATACGTCTAGGATACGCGAGGATACGGTCGGGATACTTTTGGGATACGGCGAGGCAAAAAAAAATTTCAAAAACTTAAAATGGGGTCAAAGTATAAAATATCAAAATAAGATAAAATAAAACACAAAAAAAAAAAATAATCAACCCAACTTACCTAGACCTAGGTCGAACAGCAACCAGCTGTGAAGGAGGAGTTCGTTGTCGTCTCTCGTCTTGAACAGTAGCTCCACGGTCGTCGATCAGGTTCGTCCCTCTCTCTCTTCCTTTCGCTCCCTCTCTGTCTGCCTCTCGCTCGATCTCACTCTCTCTCTCTCTCTCTCTCCCTCTCCCTCTCGCTCGATCTGTCTGGTCTGGGTGGAGATGGACAGATCTCGATCTCATCTCCCCCCTCTCGGTCGATCTCTCTCTCAACCTTCCTTTTATCTATATCGTCTGTCTTTGCAGTCACATATTTATTTTTATTTATTTTTTATTTTTTATTTTTTGTATGTATACTCTGTAAATAAAATAAAATAAATCAAATAAGATATATAAAAAAAAAAAAACTTTGTATGTATTCAGTATTACCTGATAAAACAAAATAAATCAAATAAGGTAAAAAAAAACTTATTAATAAATAAATAAATAAACTTATTAATAAACTTTGTAAAATTATTGATAAATCAAATAAGGTAAAAAAACTTATTAATAAATAAATAAATAAACTTTGTAAACTTAATCTTGGCCATCAATAAATAAATAAACTTATTGATAAATAAATGAACTTTGTAAATTTTTTTCAAATTAAGGGATTGAATTGCATTATGGTTGTTATGGGTGATGCTACATTAATGTTTTGTTTTATTTGTTTACCATAAATTTTAGGAAATGAGTTCGGGTATGGGAAGTTTAGGTTCAACAAGTGGTACACCAATTGAAGAAGATGATCATGCTCCTCTTTGGTGTTATGTTACAAAACTAGAAAAAATGGGAGAAGGAGGTGGTAATACTAGGTTTAAATGCAATTACTGTCAAAATGAGCAAAGGAAAATTGAAGAAGCTGAGAAAAGGTTAAAGATGGCTATGCCTAATAAAGTTCTTTTACCACCTTCCACTTGCCAATCTACTTCAATAGGTTCAGGGCCTTTAGATACTGGAGGATTTAGGATGGAGGGGTATGAGCCAAGAAAAAGAAAGACTACTGGAACTTCTGCTCTAGAAAAGGCATTCAACCCAGTTATTCGGGAACAACTGCATTCTGAGATTGCTCGCATGTTTTATTTAGCGGGGTTACCTTTTCATTTATCAAGGAACCCATATTATGTTAGTGCATTTCAATTTGCTGCCAACAATCCAATTCCTGGTTATGTACCACCCGGTTATAACTTGCTGAGGACTACATTGCTTCAGAAGGAAAGGGCTAATGTAGAGAGGTTGTTGGAGCCAACTAGAGCATCATGGAAGGAAAAAGGGTTGAGTATTGTTTCAGATAGATGGATTGATTCTCAAAGAAGGCCCCTTATTAATTTTATGGGAGCATCAGAAGCTAGGTTAGTGTTCTTGAAAGCTGTTAATTGTGAAGGTGAGCATAAAGACAAGTTTTTTATTTCCAACTTAATTAGTCAAGCAATTGAAGAAGTTGGACATCAGAATGTCATTCAAGTCATTACAGATAATGCTCCCGTGTGTAGTGCAGCTGGTTTACTGATTGAAAGTAAGTACCCGAATAACTTTTGGACACCATGTGTAGTTCACACACTGAATCTTGCTCTTAAGAACATTTGTGCTCAAAGGAAACAGGGGGTAATGCTTTTGCTTATGATGAATGTCACTGGATCACACTTTGTGTTGATGATGTGATGTTTATCAAAAACTTCATCATGAACCATTCCATGCGGCTAGCTATTTTCAATGAATTCGTACCCTTGAAGTTGCTTGCTGTTGCAGACACACGTTTCGCATCTGCCATTGTCATGCTCAAAAGGTTTAAACTTATAAAGCGTGTCCTCCAATCAATGGTTATTAGTGACCAGTGGGTTTCTTACAAAGAAGACAATGTTGGGAAAGCAGCATCTGTGCAGGAAAAATTATTGAATGATGTGTGGTGGGATAAGATTGATTATATTTTGTCTTTTACATTGCCTATCTATGAGATGCTTAGGTTTTGTGACACTGACAAACCATGCCTTTACTTAGTCTATGAAATGTGGGACACCATGATTGAAAAGGTGAAGGCAAGCATCTTTAGGCATGAAGGGAAGCTAGATCATGAGGAATCAATCGTTTATTCCGTTGTGCACAATATACTAGTTGAGAGGTGGGCCAAAAGTAACACTCCTCTTCATTGCCTTGCACATTCTTTGAATCCGAGGTAATAACTTAATTCATACTTTTACTAATTACATTTTTTTGTTGACATTTGTCTTTTAATATGAATAACATAATTTAATTTTGAAACTTTCTAATGTTGTAATCTAGGTATTATAGTTCAACGTGGCTCAATGAAAATCCCAATTGTGTCCCTCCTCATAGGGATGAAGAAATTTCAAGTATGAGAAACAAGTGCTTCAAGAAATACTTTTCAGATTTAGAGGAGAGAAGGGTTGTAAATGTGGAATATGCCAAGTTTTCAGGAGGTTTGGATATGTTTGGAGATTTTGACTCAAAGATTGATAGAGGAGTATTGGATCCACTTATTTGGTGGTTTACACGTGGGTCTCCTGCTCCTATGCTTCAATCTTTAGCATTAAAATTTCTTGGCCTGCCATGTTCCTCATCATGCTGTGAAAGGAATTGGAGCACCTACTCCTTTATTCACTCCATGAAAAGAACAAAATGACACCACAGCGTGCTGAAAATTTGGTTTTTGTGCACAACAATCTTCGTCTCCTATCAAGGAGAAGTCGACAGTACATTGAAGGAGAATCCAAGTTATGGGATGTTGGTGGAGATGCTTTTGATTCATTAGAGGGTGCAGACTTACTTGAAATTGCAAGTCCTTCTCTTGATGAACCAGATATGGAAGCTGTGATATTCATTGATGAAGGGGAACAAGTTGAAGTTATTGACCTTGAAGACTCTTAGCTTCATAGGAATCTTTCTTTTTTTATCAAGTTGTCTTTTGCTTTAAGTTTTATTTTTATGTATGCTACATTATTAAAAATTGTTGAAGTTTTATTTTATGTATGCTACATTACTAAAAATTGTAAAATTATTATTTTTTATGAACGTATCCCCTCCGTATCCGTATCCGTATCCGTATTCGTGCTTCCTAGCCTCCGATTGATCTCCAAAATCTGTAGAACACTTCCTAATGAAGGATAGATCACTCTGATACCAAGTTAGAATGAATAATGAAGAAATTTAGGGTCAAGGTTTATAGGGTTTAAGAAGAGGAGGAGGAGAAGAAGAAGAAGAAGAATTAGAAGAAGAAGAGGAAGAGCGATTTTATATATCTAGAATTAAAATATTTACTTTACATCGGCAAAATATATATGCAAACCCTAACATAGTGAAATGACCATCATACCCTCAATTTAAGTAAATATTAACAAAAGGACAATAAAGAAATAAATTAGAAAATAACTATTCTAACAATGGCTATTAACCTCCTTTTAAGGGGAGTTACTTGTTTGGACGCACAAAAGAATTGAATAACCTGTGCATAGAATTGACATGGCCTTGATTGGTTGGGTTGGTTTAGTTCTAGCAGATGTTCAGTTGGGTTAAAAAATCCCAAAACTGATCAAATTGGTTTGCTTCTTCAGTTAGCAATTGGGTAACCCCAAATAACTCATAAACCAACCACTTCTATATTTTCAGAACTAGCATATGTTTGGTTGGGTCCAAAAGTCCCAGAACTGAGCAAATTGGTTTGGTTTACAAATGTAATGAGAATTACATCAATCTGAACAATCAACTTGGTTATTAGTAAGAAGGGTATTATTGTAATCTTCTACATCAGAATAAATATTAAAAGAACATGAAGGGAACCCTAGTTCTTGTTCTCTCTTTTTCATATTTGTGCCTTTTTTCTCCAATCTCTTCTCTCTTCTTTCATTAATTCTTCATGGTATCAGAGTTTAGGGTTGGTCTAAGGATCTTGATTGTTCAGGGTTGAGGAGACGCTATTGAGGTAAGCCAAAAAAAAAAAAAATTCTCTATGGTCGACTAGGGTAGTCCTTTCACCCTATATTGTTTGTTTTTCCATTGAATAGGCCTCGCTAGGATTTGCCAGTTTCAGCTACCGGAGTTATTTCAGTGCATCAATCTTGTTTCTCTCAATCCCTAAGGGGTCGACTAACAATAGAGACTCAGTACCCTTGGGTCTTGAGTAGTGGTGAATTATTTTTTGGTGGTATGCGGGTGGTGGCCTTGTCTTGGTGTCTCCTAGTATTCACTGAGCAATGTTTTGGTTTTTCTGGTTGTTTTTTGGTCTCAACAACCTTCTTGTTGGGTGATATTTGTCAACTTGTTACCTAATCATGTCAGAAGGAAGTGTGGTGTCTCAACCACTTGTTAGTGTTGCTCACCAAATTGTCACGGATATTCCCACTTTACAGATTACCACTATAAAGCTTAATGGCCGTAATTATTTGTCTTGGTCTCAATCAACCAAGTTATATATCAAAACTGGGGGGAAATGGGGTATGTTACTGGCAAAGTTGTACAACCAAAAGCTGATGACCCTTTATGATCAATGGGATATTGAGAATTCCACAATTATGTCTTAGATCCTCTGCATCCACTGCTTTTGCCTAGTCAGGTAATACTTCTCTGGCCTTAAGTGCTTCCTGTCAATTCTCGTATTTCCCTTGGATCATTGATTTCGAGGCTTCTGATCATATTACTAGTTTGTCCAATTTGTTCTCCTTGTATATTCCTTGCTCAAGACAAGTTAAACTAGCTAATAATTCTCTTGCCTCTGTGTCTGGCAAAGGTTCCATCCTTGTTACTCCTTTTATGTTTTTGTCTTCTGTGTTACATGTTCCTATTGCTCTTCATAAAGGTGTGAGGTCATGTACTCAATATCCTATCTCTAATTTTATTTCTTTGCATCATCTATCACCATCTTATCATGCTTTTGCATCCCTGTTGTCTTCTGTGTCTGTTACACAGAATGTCTAAGAAGCACTCATAGATCCCAAGTGGAAAAATGTGTGAAGAAATGAATGCTCTAAGGAAAAATAATACTTGGGAGTTGGTTGAATTACCTGACGGCAAGAAGCCAATTGGATGTAAGTAAGTGTTCACTATGAAACATAAGGCAAATTGTTGGGAGATATAAAGGCTAGACTAGTGGCCAAGGGATATACTCAAACCTACATAATTGATTATCAAGAGACCTTTGCTCCAATGGCAAAGATGAATTCCATTTGAGTCATTCTTTTGTAGGTAGCTAACCTAGGTTAGCCTCTTCAGCAACTTGACGTAAAAAATACCTTTCTCCATAGTGACTTGGAAGCGGAAGTGTATATGGATATCCCTCTTGGATTCCCACCCACCTGGTTTGAGAGATTTACCAAAGCTATGCTCATGTTTGGGTATTGTCAATGTCAAGTTGATTATACCTTGTTTGTCAAACATTTATTATCACATGAGAGAATAACTGCGCTGATAGTGGATGTCGATGACATTGTATTGACTGAGGATGACATAGCGGAGATGGAAAATTTGAAGAATTTCTTGGCTAAGGATTTGAAATAAAGGACTTGGGAGAATTAAAGTACTTCTTGGGTATTGAGGTTGCTCGATCTCGATATGGTGCTTTTATCTATCAATGCAAGTATGCGCTTGATCTTTTTAAGGAGACTGGGATATTGGGATGTAACTGGTGGACACTCCCATTGAACAAAATCATATACTGGGGGATAGTGAAAGTGATACTCCTATTGATATGGGTCGTTATCATAGACTTGTTGGTAGACTTATTTACCTTTCAATCACTCATCTTGACTTAGCATACACAGTTAGTGTGCTTAGTCAGTTTATGTATTCACCTCGTGAAGTTCATATGGAGGCTGTATATAGGATTCTCTACGGTACTTGAAGTCATCACCTAGTAGAGGTATTTTGTTTTCAAAACATGATGATCTGCAGATAGAAGCCTATATTGATGTAGATTGGGCGGGATCCATCACCAACAGGAGATGCAATTTAGGGTACTACACTTTTGTAGGTGCTAATTTCATGACATGACGTAGCAAGTAGTCTATAGGTTCTAGGTCAAGAGTGAAGGCAGAATTTCAATCAATGGCTCATGGAATATGTGAATTGTTGTGGTTGAAGTCACTTCTGAAGGTTTTGATAAGAAAATTCCGATGGAACTGTATTGTGACAATAAAGTTGCTATTAACATTGCCCACAACCCTGTTCAACATGATAGGACCAAACATGTAGAGGTTGATAGACATTTCATCAAAGAAAAGTTGAATGAGGGTGTAATTTGTACCCGTGTTTGTCAAGACGGGAGATCAACTTGCAGATATTTTGATTGAGTGTCTAGTATACTGTTTCACTTTGTTCTTGACAAGTTGAGCATTCGCAATATCTTTCCCCAACTTGAGGGGGAGTATTGGTTATTAGTAGGAAGGGTATTAATGTAAAAAGGGAACCCTAGTTCTCATTTTCTCTTTGTCATCTGTGCCCCTTTCTCTCATCTCTACTCTCTTCTCTTCTTTCATTAATTCTTCACAATTGTGTGAGAAAGTCCAACAACACATACCCGTAAGCCCAACATCAGCCATCACAACTTCGAACACAAGAAAGAGCTCCATAACGGAGAAGAAATAAATAACTTAAGAAATAGCTCACAAATGTGAAGACATTATCAATTTTTGCATTTGGCAAGGTTTGACTCCTTGATCTCTCAGTTGAGAGTGTACAAGTGTGCACGACTGAATTAACCAGTTGGTTGATTGATTCCCTCTTTTATTCTGTCCCTTATCATCAATCCACTCATCCCTCTCTCACCCTCCTCTCCCTTTCAATTCCCTTCCCTTCTGCATTTTGCTCCTTTCAACATCTTTCAAGCTATTAATTTCAAGATTGGATATCCTTCGTAGTTTTAATGATTTCATTATGAACAATAGTTATCTAGTAGAAGATTTATAATTTTTTTTGGCTGAAACTGTTTAGTGGCTAATTTAATTTCATTGGTGTTCCATAATCTTCTTTTTTACAGATAGAACTCAAGTCATCATTGTAATGAACATCTAATTGAAAACCTTTCTTTCTTTTATGAGAGTTTTTTTTCTTCTAAAAAAAGCAACGGTTTGCTTTGTTAGCACCATTGTATCAGGGCCAAGGTTTTAAAAAACGGCCGCAACCGTTACGTAACGCCGTTACGTAACGGTTTTGGCGGTTACCGCCATCCGTTACGGCCGCTTTTGCAGTGTGATTGAGATTCACAGGTGTGCCAGCCGTAGCGGCTGCCGTAGCAGTCGTAACGGTGCCATAACAGCCGTAACGGCCTGTTACGCACCGTTACGTAACAGTTTCAAACTCTTTCTTCCGAAAAAACAGACAAAAAAAGCTGAAAATGGGGAAGAGGGATAGAGAGAAGAGGGAAGATAAAGAGAGAAAATGGAGGAGCAAGAGATAGAGAGAGAAAAGAGGAAAGATGAAGAACATGTTATTGATTTGTTAAAACTGTAAGACCTATGCTATTCTATTCAGCTGCTATCACTAAACCATTTTGTTTGTGTGTGTCTATCTATATATTGTTTGAAAATGATAATAATAATAAGTGTAGTTATTATCTATTTGGCTTGGTTAAAATATGTATATATATATACATATTTAGGCTCTTATTTATTCTTACTTTTGTCATTGTTTATC